ATCGACCCTAATTGGGTTAGTAGGATCAATGAAACGCCGATGTGAACTTATTATAGAAAATAATGGTGAACGAATTCTGTTCTAAAAAAATATTAATAAAATTAGCTAGTTTTTAGCTTCAAATATATATAAATTTTATTTAGTTAGTGTCGTTAGTTTTTGCATAATATGTATTTAAAAAATTCCAGTTTTTTTTGTCTCACACTGTAAATTCAGAAGTTTTTACGTCAGATATATCAAATTTCGTGATTATCATGTTATCAGTTATATTAATTTATTATTAATAATTATTAACTACTTAATAACTTAAAAATTACGATCTAATTAATAAGTAATTATTAATTACTTATTAATTAGAATTTTTAAATTTTTAGTTAAATCCCATCACTACTTACAGTACAATCTGTAACTCAGAATTCAATTCTTGAAAGACAAAATGAAAAATATTTTTATCCGATAACTCGACCATGGACTCTGGATGAATGCAAAAATTTTCTGCATAATCCGCGGTAATTAAATATGTTCAAATTATATGATCGTGACTTATATACTAGTTATAACAGTATAAACAATTTTTTATGTATTGGTTGCTACTTCTGGCAACAGATGGGTCTTATTTGAATATACTAGAAAATTTTCAATTATTTATTTACTTTTGTTGATAGCAAGAGAATTTATTAAACCATATCCTCGGAATTACATACTTGGGGTGAGTGCTGGGAAAATGGACCAAATTGATTTTTTTTTTAAAAAAAAGTTCCCAAGTAAAATAGATGTAGATTTGGTCATCTGATTCAGATCATTTGTTATTTCCAAAAAAAAATTTTTGTCGATTTGGTCTCTTTTCCCAGCACTCATCCCACTTTCTCTTGCTCAACTTCCTTGGCAAGTTTTACGACTGATTCAAAAGACATATTAATTGCACTAAGCTTTTTTTCGGCCAAAAGAATGTGATTTAATCCATCGATTAATTCAGCGATATTTTTTGCTAAAACGTAGTCTAGTTTAAATGGCTTTTTTGTAAGCCTTTCCTCGTTGAGTTGGAGAAAATAATAACCAGAAATGTTTTTGAATTTCACTATTTCATCTTCTCCAATGTTAAAAGAATTTCTTAAAAGGTAATCAACGCCTTTAAACCTACCGGTTGATGAGATGTCTGTTAAGATGCTGTTCCCAATACCCGGTCTGGTGGTGTTGTTATCGTTGTTCCTGATGTTGGTATTACTTTCGATGTTCCCGGTTGTAGTACTGGTGGTGCTCCCGGCTGAAATGTCATTTCGTGGTTCATTATTCTAAAAAATATAGTACGTACATACCGTAAATGAAAATGTAAATAATGAAAATTTAATCGTATTACCTGAATCTTATAAATAGTATGGATATTGCTTTCGTATTCTTTTGACAGAAAAAATTCAATTGAAATTGTTTTAATTTTGCTAGGATCATTATTATATTCGAATTCAAAGGTTTGTTCTTGAACACATTGATGAAATAACCCAGCATCATTCTCGGTTTTGAAATGTATATGGGAACGTTTCCAGTAAAATCAAGTCATGAGGCATAGTAAATCATATGATCTGTAATGTGATTTTACAACGCTCCTATATGTCCGTAAGTTTCTCTCTTGCACTTTAGTATATGACAATTTTCTATTTGGATAATATCTGATAAAAGGTTTTTAATTTTGCCACTACTAACACCGTACAGATGTCTTCCTTCGATAAAAACAGATTGCTGGACTGAACAGCAAAAAGTCTTTTGTCTTTTTGGTTCTAAAAAATGAAAGCGTGAGTGTAAGAACGTGAATGTGAACGCGTGAATGTGAATGTGAAACATAATGTGTGAACCATGAATGTCATTTCTACGACTGTTATGAAGGGAGGTACATAACCGATTCCTCCTCCAGAATCGGTAGACTTTCAAGGTTTCCACAAATACGTTGACGTTGACATATTTGTGGATGTGAACATGGACATAAAGGTAAAAATATTCTTCACTTACTTGGTGGTGAGTCTATTTGTACCATTTGTTTAAGACGTCTGAAAAAAAGATTTTTTTATTAGAAAGATGAAAAAAGATTCTGCTTCTATTTTTAAGAGACAAAGGGAAGCTTATTATGACGAAATATAGCAAATGATGTAAAAAATTTAAAAAATCACTAAGTATACGCGTACATAGATTACATCATTGTAAGTTTTGTGTTTGGTTATTTTGAGGGTATATATAATGATCCTAGACCCCGGATATAGGATAATTTAAATATAATTGGTTATCATCAGCATCATCAGCCACAAAATTTATTGGCTGTTTATTTCTATTTTGAGAAAGCAGAACATAAAATTACTTTCGCAAAAAAAATTTTTTCTTCCTTTGACTAGGATTTTGACGTGTCATACGCAATTTGTAATGACTTTTTTACATGTACTAATTTTCATTATTCTTAGGGTTTTTTTTTTCTTTTGATTCACTTAGCAAGATTTAATGTTTGTCAATTTCTATTACTTTAGCGTTGTCAATCTAAAATACAAGACAATACAGTACTTTCCTCAAAGCATTATGAGTAGCTTGCACCATGGGCTAAAGTATCTTCAGAGAACAAATATTTAATGTTACTAACCACCTGTGAATTTTGATATTGAAATTGAATTTTTTCGCTATATTCATATTATCATTTTTAAAAGAAAAAAATTCATTAAAAAAGTTATTTTACTCATAAGGTAATATAAAAGAATTTATTTTATAATTGTAACTTATGATAGTTTATATTTCAAATAAAATGTAATTATCCTTCTTAATATATTTTTTAAATAGTTTCTTCATTATGAATTTCACAAAAAGTATGGCGGTCTTCCTGTGTGGGTTTACCTAATATTAAATTAAAAAAAACAAGATAAATGATAATTGAAATAATTTTCACTCTTTCTATATTTACCATTTGTTTTCCGATTTTCCTTAATAATAGCTGAATTTTTACTGGTAGAGGATTTGGTAGTAATTTTGTACAAAAAGGACATTTTTTACTACTTATTAAATGAAACAAATTTAAATATAATGATAAGCATAATATTAAATAAAAAAAATTTGGATCTTAAGAATCTCTTTACCTTGATTAATTTTGGTTAAACTTTGAGAGTCTACAGATGGAAGTGGTGGAATGTTTTCTTTTTCAGAAGAAATTACTTCTGGCTTTTTAATTTCATTTTTTTTAGTATAACGGGGGTTGCTTGCCTTTTAGCTGATTTCTTATTTTCCAACCCGCTTTGAATTCTCTTATTGGATACACGTCCTTAATATAGATTATTTCTTCTAATGTTAATTAGATAAAATATGATAATTATTCAAAATTATATTAAAATTACCTTTTTGTCTTATGGCTACGTGATTTTTTATTTGATCTTCGACTTGATTTATTGACCGTTTCTCTGAGATATGCATGGTAATTTCCTTTTGCACTGATTCATCAAGTAAGATATAAAAAACTTTTGCTGTTACAGGTTTTGCTTTTATTAACTGCTGAACTTTTTGCCATGTTCGATTTAAAAGATATTCATAATCATCATCATTAGTTTCTGGAGAATTGCCATTATTAGCATTTTGATTTGAACTCGATCCTACCAAATTATAAAACACCTGGTACATTTTCATAATGTTTTGATCATTAGGATCCTTAAACCATCTTGTAAGAAATAAATAGTAGTGCAGATTTTTCAAATTAAGTTGAGATGCAACTCTAAAAATATGGCGGTAAATGATACCAGAAAAAGTTGTGTAAAGACATGAGCATGAAAATTGTTAATTTTCCAAGTTATATTTTACAATACATCCTTTTGCTTAACTTTGAAACCGTTTTACATTACATATAACTTCTTTTTCTCGATCATTATTACTAAAATAAATATATAACAATTAAAATAAATAAATAAATAAAATAAATCATACTTATTTTACTTACTTTATAATTTCTTCGCACTTGTACATCATACATTCAAGTAACTGTTTTTGAGTTTTATCTAATGCATATTTAGTTAGGAAATCCATTGCTTGTTTTTCGTAAGGACTTTTTGTAACCAATTTGGCATTTGTATAATCTTTACAGAATTTCACAAATTCCATATCTTCTTTTCTTTGATCTAAAGCAGACTCGAAAGCTTTCAAAAAATTAGTAAGGGATGTTGTGGCATCCAAATAATCTTTCATAAGGTTATTTATAGACTCTCCTCTCTGAGTAGTTGTCATATCGGCCATAAATATTTGGCGGTTATAACACGGAGCCCAACGATTTAGTTCTTATCCATCTTTGATATATATTTAACTGCTACTGAATAATCAGATTTAATAAATTCTGACTATTTAATTTCCAAGGTACTGTTAAGATTTTTGTTACATTTTTTAACAAATGCTATACGCATAAAGCATGCTTTATTCTGAATGGTTCAAATACATGACCTACTGCTTTAATTATTGCATAATCTTCGTTTATGAGAAAAGCTTTTGAAGCATAATTATTGACCATTTTTAAAAAAGTATTAAATATCTAAATGAAACTATCAGTACTTTCATTACACATAATTGTACCAGCAAAGCATACACTCTGCCCATAATTGTTAACGCCTGTGAAAATGCCAAAAGGCATATTAAATCGGTTTGTTTTATAAGTATTATCAAAAACTACATCATCATAAAACTGACAATAGTTCACTCGTTGATTATGAAACATCCATATTGCCTGTTGCAATTTATTAGTTTCTGAATTAATTCTAACTTTATACTGAAATTTATTATCTTGAGATTTAATGTTTTCTAATTCCTTTATAAAATCATTTGCATCCAGTTTTTGCTTTTTAATAGTTCCCTCTTGTTGGTAAATAAAATTATACAAATCATTGTAAATCCAAGTTATAATACTAGAGAATTCTTCTTTTAATATTGAATGAATTGTTAGAATATCACATCCAATATGATGAAATAATGATTCTTTTTTGTACTTCTGAAGGAATGGTTCTTTCACATGTCATTAACCATTGCAAATTAGGTAAGACCATTGAATGATTATGCTCTAGATATGTTGCTATAATATACCAAAATCCATTATTTGAATTAAAGAAAGCACAAACTAATAAATGGCAATTACAATGTTTTGAAGGCCGATTTCTGATATTATTTGTTTTTTCTGAAGCACCTTTCTTACTATAAAGTATTGTTCTTTTGCAAATTTCTCCAGTTGATTTTTTTTTTACTTTTTCTAGCCTTACTTGAAATCCCAAATTTTTGGTATAATTTTTAACTGCTATGACAAAATCCTCATGAGTAGTATAAGAATTACTATATAGGCGAATTTGGGGGTTCTGATGCAAATTCCAAATCCGCCTACGAACCCAGTTTGCTATATGATTTCCAATATCAAATTCAAAGCTCTAGCGCTTTT